TGTGTGTGTGTGTGTGTGTGTGTGATGGTGCTGTGCGGTGAAAACACAACAAAAGGAAAAAGCAGAACAGCATGAATGAACAAACCAAACCGTGGTGTGCCTGTGGAGAGCCGGAGTAGAGACAGAGTCTTCAGTACAGCACCAGAACCGTCTCTGCAGTCAACACAACGACATCACATCGGGTCGTGTTCTGTCTTCCAGGCATCTCCATTCAGAACACAGACACGGGGACAGAAGCATTGCTCAGTGGCGGGTCCAGCAGGACATCGTTCAGTGCATGGAGAGCCAGGTGGGAATCAGAACATTCCAGGTCTTCAGCTCCACCACCAATGAAAAGAATTTTAAAGTCATGATGTAATCCACCTCCTCCACACCGGACTGGAACACTTCAGTTACTTTCATTTAAGCCCACTGCTACTTTTCTTCATATGTTCTCTCAGCTGTGAGGCCAACATGAACTGGACTCTATGGATCAGAATTTAGAAGAACAAAGACGTTTTCACCCCATCAACAGGCCAGAGAGAGATGTTTAGGCAGAGAATGTAATTAAATAAAACTTAGAAAAATAAACTGTGACTATCACACTTCTAACAAAGAGAAAGTGGCTCTGATGCTGTTGGACTGTTTTCAGAATGATCTCAGGATGTTTCAGGCAGCAGCTTGTGAGGATTCTTAAATTGTTCTGTTGTTCTGTGACTTCTAGCGAGAGCGCATCGCTTATTGTTACTAAGTGCTCCATAATAACATCTGACATTTGTAGAAATGATCATGAAGCAGGGCTGCAGGTGGCTCAGTGGTTAGCACTGTGGCCTCGCAGCTAGAAGGTCGCCGGTTGGAGTCCCGGTGAGGACACCTCTTCCACTCATGACTCTCTGCAGGCCATGAGCTGTAAGACCACCTACTTAAACCCAATTTGAAGAAACTTCTAACATGGATCTTCTCTTTTTTTTTCAGCTCATTCTGGAAAAACAGAAACTCATTGCGATGCAGCTTCATCTGTCTGAACACAAATACTCTGATTTGGTATATTGGCTCATTTCACTCTTGACTTACTGTTCGTTTAATCTGATTCACTTGATTAAAAGTTTAGCTTCTTGTAGCTTGAAGAATTTTCAGACTTGCTTGTATGATTTTGTTTCTTCCTGGAAAGAGAAGAAATGACAGCGTGTGTTCATGTATCCTGCAGAAGGCAGCTTCAGAGTGGCCGTACAGCCTCCCTTTGTTCCTGCCCCAGCCTCATGTGACCGACGGAGTCCAACAGTGGGGCATTAAGCGTCTGGAGGACCTGGTCCAACCCGGCTACAGAGCAGCCGGATCTGCCCTTCCTCTGCCAGGTAACACCGTGAACATCTGCTCGCTAAGATGTTCTACAGCCACTCCACCGCTGGGTTTTCAACTGCCTTATATTTAGAACAATATTTAATCTTCTATAAAACCTCAGAAATCAGAAGGTAATAGTTTTTAATAATAAATTCAAATTCATATGAGATCATGTCTGAGACATTCTCATTGCTATTGTTGGGCATTAAGGACTCGTTTGTGACAGGAGGAGGATCACTGAGATTAAAAATCCTGTGTCCTGGCCAAGACAGGCAGCAGCACAAATGACAAACAGACAAGGTCACAGCAGCATCCCTCCACCCATCATCTCTACACCTTCATCCTCACTAGGGGGCGGAGCCTATCCCAGCTGACTCAGGGTGAAGGCAGGTTCACCTGGACAGGTAACCAGCCTATCACAGGGCTACACTTAGAGACAGACAACCAAGCACACTCACATTCACACCTACGGACAATTTACAATCACCAATTAACCTCAGCATGTTTCTGGACTGTGGGAGGAAGCCGGAGAACCCGGAGAGAACCCACGCTGCACGGGGAGAACATGGAGACTCCACGCAGGAAGATCCCGGGTGTCCTCACCGGGACGCCAACCGGCGACCTTCTAGCTGTGAGGCCACGGTGCTAACCACTGATCCACCTGCAGCCCTGTTCAGAAACATGGCTAGCCATGTAGCCTGTTGCTGACAGAGATATTCATGTTGGTGCTTATGATGTATACAGGACTCGGTGGGGTGTTGCAGTCTTTACAAAGAAGACATTTCAGGTGAATGTACGACTCTCTAAGGCAGTGAGCAGGCAGTTTGAGTTGTTAGCGTTGGACCTTGAGGTGTCTAAATCCCTACACAGACCTGTTGTTGGATGCTATAGGACACCATCAGCTGATTGTGGTGCTCTACCCTCTTTATTGCAGCTCAGCCGGGTCGAACTTTAATGAAGTAAGTGTAGCCCTGTGATAGACTGGTTACCTGTCCAGGTGAACCTGCCTTCACCCTGAGTCAGCTGGGACAGACTCAACCCCCCATGACCCTAGTGAGGATGAAGGTGTAGAGATGATGATCATGGAGAACATCTGGAGTAAAGTTAAAGCTGTCTTGAAGACTCATGACACTGGCCAGACAGACAGGGAAGTGATAGAAAGCCTGGCGCTCTCCATTGAGCCCGTCTCCCTACAACCTGCATCCAGCTCAGGAAGCACTGGACGGGATTTTTTATTTCCAGTGTCAGAACTGGATAAAGCCAATGCACAAAGTGCAGCATGAAGCGAGAACAACAGACGATCCATCCCTTTAATTCTTTTGAATGGGAATAAAGCAGCCAAAACAAGCTCAAGACTGAATCCAGGTCAGCTCCGCAGGAATCCGGTCCGGGATCTTCCCTCACTGGAGTCGGTGATGATGATGAGTGACGTCACCCGTAAACAGGAAGGAAAGCCGGTGCAGCAGGGCTGTGGATGAATTAGTTTAAATCAGGACTGATCCAGACTAGAACTTGGGGAGATGAGGCCTCATGAAGCGCTGTGGCACGTTACCCAGACTGCACTGGTCCTGTGTCACTGTGCTGCTCAATACTGACACCTGCTGGATCTTAACAGTCCTTACAGGCAACCGAGTGGACAGGCTCATAATGATTTAATGACCCAGTATACACAATAATATAATGTAAAGTATGGTATTTTATATTGTGTTATTTTATATCTTAATCTAGTTTAAAACATGTTTGATATCTTTGAAATATTCAGTCAATAAATAATGTGAACGTGTGTCATGACGTGAAAATCAAAGTGTTGTGGATGTGAGGATGCTGATGTGTTTGTCTTTGAGGCAAGAAGGGGATTTTTATATATATATATAAATTTTTATTCAAAAAAATCAGTTGTTCCAATGTGTTGACATTCAGGCGATTTTCTAGGAACAGGAAATAAAAACAAATACCTGATTAGCCGATATAAGATCAGAATGGTTCCACACGGAGGGAACCTTTTTTCTTTCGGGCTCCATCATAGCTTAGAATTGCGCTTCAAAAGAAGGTGATCCAGTTCTCCCAGGGATGGCGAAACCATTGAAGATCGGTCTCAGTTCACGTGCAGTCCTGACCTGAGCTGGTCGGTCGGTTTGCCATAAGATGTGTCCACCATCACGACCACAGCCAGAACCACTTCAGAACCATCGATCTAATTAGTTTCTTGAGGCCCAGATCGAAACATGCTGTTTTGTGAAAACAACTCGACTCAACTCACAGATTGGTGTCGAGTTTAAGAACAAAACAAAACACGAGTGTCACGAGTGACGTTCGAGCAGAGAGACGTGCGGCCATCTTGGATTGATAATAATAATAATAACAGTATTTTTGCATCAGTGTATCCAGTGTTGAAGATGATGAAGACATTATCAATATAGAAAAAAGTTTATTAATATCTCAAACGCCTGTGAGAGGATTCGAAGCCAAAAACAATCTCCCTCCAGAACAAACTTCACTGCTGGCTTGTCTCTGGGAGTTGTTTGTGTCAAACTAAGAGCCAATGATTCATACCATATGGAAACCTCTAGACAATGAGGCAGCTGTCCTTGGGTAACCTTTGAGCTGATCACTTGTCCAAACACCCCAAACCACATGCAGCCTTTGACCTGGGGACAGATCTTGAAGACTCGCGGGGTAGGATGTCAGATACCGCGCCAGTTTTATAATAATCTGTAATGTCAGTCCTTACATGAGAATGATGCCCTTAATGTGACATCTATGTCATTGTTGTAGAATTTATGAAAGTCAAGCTAACTTTGAACCTTCCTGTTTGTTGCTTGCTTCAGAATTTGTCACCAGAGTTTCCAGACAGCTCCTTGTAGAGCAAATGCAGCTCAGAAAATGAGATGAATAAGGACACAATCCAAATCACGCGTGTCTGATGGCACAGACGGTGAAATGCAATCATTGTTGTTTTTTCCAGAGTTGGTCGCCAGCATGGAGTGTTACAAGTACAACAACATCAGGCCTCCGTACACCTACGCCTACCTGATCCGATGGGTGAGTGTGTGTCGTCAGTCATACCTACAGTTTGTCTGATGTGCTTTGACAGTCACTGATATCACCACAGAGCACAGCTCACACTCTTTAGATGTGTTTTACAGAAAACTGTACCATTCAGTTTTACTACTTTTATGTGTAGCAGGAGCAGATGTGCAGTCACATGGCAGGACTAACCTGACTAAAACATTGCTCTAGATAATATAATCCAATAGATGAATCTAAATTAGAAGAACTGATTTGGATAAAAGCCAAACTTTACTGATTAAAAACAACCAAACTATGGAAATGCTTGTAGACAGGCTGTTGGAGCTAAACGGTGCTGAGCTGCAGCCAGGTGTGTGTGGACGGTGACATTCATGTTTTATGTGCAACAAACTCTTGCAATAGTCGCTCACTTGTCAGTTTTCATCACAGCTTATCCTTCTTTGAGCTTCTCTTTGTGTCTGACTGGTTTCAGTCTATCCTGGAGTCTCCAGACAAGCAGCGCACTCTGAACGAGATCTACAACTGGTTCACCACCATGTTCTTCTACTTCAGACACAACACTGCTACCTGGAAGGTAACCCACTCTGATACCTGCTCATATCCACAGAATGAACTGAGCTCAGGACTAATCCACTGAAAATGTTGCTCAAGGTCTGATGTTTTCTTCAAACCTTTTCAAATTGTTAGTCACATGAGGTCAAGGTTTTTTTTTATTTAATTTTCGCAGAAACGTGTAGAAATGTAGTTTCCTATGATTCCATGTTCAAAGCCTTTATAGTCAGTCGTTGTTTTGAACGACAGTCTCTCTGCTGTCACGTGCTGTCAACACATTTTTTAAAGGTATATTGGTTCCAGATTTCAGTTATTCACAATTACCAATAATCTATTTTGATCTTGTGACTTTTTGAACTTTCCCGAGGTCCAATTTATCGACCAATGAGGGCATGACAAATCTGTGAAATGAAAAAATGTGATGTTGTCGTGGTAGCCACAAAGTGAGCCGTCAGTCAGTAACAGACTGGACTAAGGAACAGCCTCACATGCAGTTTCCATCTAACAGAACACACGCTTTCCTGCTGACAGTAAACGACTGTACCTGTGTCCTCTACCCAGAATGCAGTACGTCACAACCTGAGCCTTCACAAGTGTTTTGTGCGAGTGGAGGGAGGAAAAGGAGCAGTGTGGACAGTGGACGAAAGAGAGTACCAAAGAAGGAAGGGACAGAAGTATCACAGGTACAAACACCGTCCACATCTGTCTGTCGCTCACTGAGATTCACTGTTTAACTAACCCTAACCCACCCTAACCCTGTCTTTGGTCGTCGGCTCCCGACAGTCAAGATTACAAGTTACAGAGAGAGCTGGGAAAAGAAATGGTTGGATAAGGAAGGACAGGAGGAGATAGAAAGAAAGACAGGAAGTTGAACAAGGAAGGCACATTATACAGGGGACAGAAGAAAGCTCGACTACGGTTTATATTCAGGACATTAAAATTTAGCAGCGAGTGTAGGCCAACTGATAGAAACTAAAAAATAAGCTAGAGTGAAAGTTCACTTGGTGAGGTGTGTATGTCTGTACTGGACTGTACTCAGCAATGTGCATATTCACCAGCACTATTCATGTGCAGATGCCGACCTACTACATAGGCTAGAAGGTAGTATAATAACTACCGTACCATCCTCTGAATGGACCAGAAGGTAGTATAATAACTACCGTACCGTCCTCTGAGTGGACCAGAAGGTAGTATAAGAACTACCGTACCGTCCTCTGAGTGGACCAGAAGGTAGTATAACTGCTGCTACATGTCGGTGGTGCTGGTAGCTGTCCAGGTGTGTGGGTGGATAATCCAGGCCTACCTGTGTGTGTTTTCAGGGACTGTCCTGTGAAGTGGCTCACATCCTGCTCCACGTACAGCCCCGAGGACCCCTGAACACCACCTGAGCTGCTCCTTGGCTTCAGCAGCTGGAGCCACATCCACATGTGCTGGAGAACCACATCAAGAAATGAAGAATCTGTACATTTGTTTGTTTATATGTTTTATTATTTTCCAAATGACTTGATTAATGTGACTGTATAATCTGTAATGAGACAGTATTTTGTAACCAAACCGGGCAGCTTCTGGTTTTTGTACTTTGTAAATCCAACAGAACCGCAGCAGAATAAATAACGGTAGCGTTTGTGGGTGTTTGGTCATTATGCTGGTTTTACCGTTTCCAGATCTGACAGTTTGTTTCAGCGAGCAGGTTAGTAGGTCGGATATCTCTGACATGGGTTGTTTCCATCCTCCTGTACTGTCATCTGCTCTTTAAACTTAGATGTAGACTTTCACAAAAACAATATTAAAATGGGTCAGTACCTTCTAATCTCCATTTTTCTTCTTTTCCTACACAACAATAACGCACATAAAACTAGAGTATACAGTCTGGGGTGATAGCGGTCGGTGTTTTGAAGCATCACAAATGTGCCTCATACAGTAAACAGCGAACACCATATCTGACAGGGTGAACTATGTTGTCGCATAAATGCTTCAGTAAATAAAGCAGTGGATCTCACATTGGGGTTCAGGACCCCCATGGGGGTCCCAAGATCATTTCAGCGGGCTGCCAGATCATTGTAAAAACACCATAAAGCCTAAAGTTAGCAAATGAATGTAAATTCAGGCTGTCAAAATTAAAAGTTTATAATTCCTTCCACTCCTTTTTCAGACTTGTTGATATTATGATGTGATTATGAGATATTATTTTTGTTTTTAATGCTCTTTTTAAAATTATTTTCTTTTGTTTTTATGTATTTTTTCCTTTTTCATTTGTTCGAAATAAATTCAATTCATTCATTCAAAAGAAAATAAAAGGCGTTAACGTAAAGCGCTGAATCTGTGGAATCAACACATTAATGATGAACAGCAGAGTTATTGTTAATGAGACATTAAGCATCCTGACGTGTCTTATCTGGGGAACCGCTGATCTGAAGGAAGTCGGGCGAGACAATGGGCGGCTGTGCGGTGCTTCCTCCGGACCAGCAGGTGGCGCTACTGCCGCTACTGCCGCAGCAGCTTTTCGCTCTTTGCGGCCAGAAAAGAAACAACCAGGAAGCAGCAGCGTTTGTTTAGTGTCGCGGTTTGTTTGGCCGTCAGTGTCGGTGGAGGGATGTCCGTCCTCCAGTGAAGCAGCTGCTGACACACCTCGGCCTCAGAGGAGGAAGAGGAAGAAGAAGAAGGAGAAGAAGGAGAATGGCAGATGAGGCTCCTTTCCAGTTCCTCCACAGCGAGCTGGTGGACTACATCTACAAGTCAGCCGACGGAGGAGACACGGTGAGCAGCCGGGCGGTGGTCGGAGCTTCACCCGGAGCTGTGCAGCACCTTACAGGCGTCTCTTGTTTTGTGTGTGCTTCCAGGAGAACGGAAGAAACATCACCAAGCTGGAGAACATGGGCCTGAGAGTGGGCCAGGGCCTGATAGAGCGGTAAGAGGAGGGAGACCGCAGGAGCTCGGCTTGGTTCCGTACTGGTAGCTTCAGCAGATAAGAGGAGAGTTAAAGGGCTGGTATCTGAGCCGTCCAGCTCCTCAGATGAAACCTTCATTCTTCCACGTGTAGACCACATTAGAGCAGCTCCACGTCTGACACCTGGATCGGGTTGAACCCAGAGGCTAAAGATTAGTTAAACCCAGCTTTCAGGTTTGTGAAGTCCAGACATTTCATACAAGGACACGCTGAAGTCTTCCCACCTGGAGCTGCTGGAGGTGACCTCCTCTGACTGAGAAGGAGTCCAGGAGCAGGAGACCCAGGTTCCCCATAAAGTTTGGATCATACGCTGCTCTGTCCAGAACTGAAGCATTCAGATGAAATTAGTCGTGACAGCTCTGTCGAGGTCGACACAGTTCCTGAATGAAGTTCTTCTGAACACCTGAGGAGCTGTGTCACCTGCAGACAGGTGGCGTGTTCCTGACAGCATGTGAGGGTTTTACTTTTTGTTGTCCATGAAAATCAGCACAGACTCTGTTCAGCAGAACTCCGTGTGCTGCCCAGAATGCGTGTGTGGTGGCAGGTTGTCATGTACCACCACAGCGACCCAGTACTCGGATATTTGGATGTTCAGGTCCAGCCCTGCTGTAAACATCCCGTTGCCATGGGAACCCGACATCGTAAGTCGGTGATGCAGAAAGCACATAAATATGTTTTAATGTTTGGTTCTGATCTGCTGTCAGGTCCGTTTCCTCTGCTGCTGCTGCAGCTGATAGAACGGATCAGAACATGGATCATTCTGCTGGTATTGATCACAGAGAACATCCAATCAGTAACATTGATTCACTCTGATTGGGCCAAAAGTTAAAGTGATTTCCTGCATTCTGGGACAGAGTCAGACCTGAATGAGCTTCAGCACCAGATCAGGTTTAAATGTATGAAGGTGAAGTTTAACGTGCAGCTGTCAGCTGGAAACCAGCGGCTGCATCACTAAATATTCTCTATGAACACGTTGAACACTTTCTACCAGCATTCCTGTCTCCACCGTTTACAGTAGCAGCATCATGGTGATGTTCCTCATTGTTCTCCATTAAAACAAGGAGCTGACTGAAGCAGCTGCTCGTCATCGATTCATTCAGGGCAGAAGAAGAGTCACGTGACGCCTTAACGCCTCCTTTAATGAGAACAGAGTCTGAAGCAGGAAGTCTGACTGATGAAGAAAGCTGATAACCACCTTGGTGATACCTGTGACCTCTGGCTGGAGCTCAGGCTGTGTGAAAGCTGCCCTCTGTCCTGGGCAGGTGGCCGTCATCACTGAACATCACAGTGACTCACTGTTCTTCCAAAGTGCTGCTCCTCAGCCGAGCCTGACAAGTAGGACTTAAATAAAGTCACGGTCTTTGGACCGGCTGAATCCTTTTTCCTTTTCTGGGATGAACAGGTCGCTATAGCAACACGGGACGGGGACAGACCTGTGCAGGATAAAGACAAGTGTGCTGCTGTTGCATGTGTTTCAGACAGCATGAAGGTTCTACTTAGAATGTGTAAACACTGAGAATCAGGAGCTCAGTTCGGCCGGCGACGCTTCCTGCAGCTTCCTCCTTCACTGCTGAATCAGCAGCTACCATCCATGCGGTTGTCTGGTTTTATAACCGATTACATGTCCTCGCCTTGGCCTGCCATGGTTTTGTGTAGTTGTGGAGTTTCTGCTCTTCTTTGTTTGTTGAATGATGAAGTGAAGACGTTTGGTTTGGAGTCACATCAGTGAGCAAACGGTGACATCGTTGGTCATCATAGACGAGATGCAGTGTGAAACTAATTAATAGTGAAAAGCATCAGATCTACATTTTAATTTTCCACTCAACCACCGCTGATCTTAGTTCATTACAGAGTTGGTGGATTCCTTTGCAGTTTAGATGCTCTGCTTGGTTTAATCTGAAACCAGCAGGCCTGTGATGATGGATCCAGAACAAATGTCCACAAAACATTAACTCAAATTCAAAGTGCATGATACACATGAATATGTCAGCGCTCATAAAGAATGACACCTGGTGTACCTGTGTGGCAGAAACCAGGCCGAGTTATGTCAGCGTTTTTGATATACATTTGTATGTCGATAATCGATAATATTTCAAGCAGACCTTTGACTGGATCTCTTATTGTTAATCAGGTGTTCTGTAATTGTTTGTTACGGCAACAATGCTTAGATTTAAGTGAATGCTTGTGTCCTTCATTGAAACAGCTTTTGCTTTTCTCCAGGTTGACCAAAGACACGGCGCGATTCAAAGACGAGCTGGACATCATGAAGTTCATATGCAAAGACTTCTGGACCTGTGTGTTTAAGAAGCAAATTGACAACCTTCGAACCAATCACCAGGTAGCACCACCTCTCTGTGGCTAGCGCTACGCATCAACACGGTGAAGCTGCTAAACGCTGACACAACGCATATTGTTTTACTCATATGTAACCGGTGCTTTCATCTATGGTAGATACAGTAATTACCCACAGCAGCCCCTGGAGGCGTGGACCCCCGACCCTCTGAATGTGTCCAGTTCTTTAAAGGCCTGTATGCAACATTCAGCACCACTGGGTGGCGCTAGAGCACCAGCGTCTCAGAGCAAAACCGACGGGTGGCTGTAACACGTCTATCTGCTGCTGCTCTTCATTTACAACCACAAAGCTGTTGTACACCAAATTCAACAACAACAAAATAGACCAAAAATAGGCCTTGAGCTCACGCTAACATGTAAAACCCTGTTAGGATCCCGCCTCTGTCAGCTGGATGTCACCAAAACACCCAGATGGAAATGGTTCAGGTAACAGTTTACTGCTCAGTGATGTAGATGAACAGAACAGTGACGATACAAAGGAAGATGGAGGACGCTGCTACAAATCAAAGAACCAAACGAAGGCTAACAGAGTTGTGAAGCTAGCTAACAAAACTAAACTCTTTAGCCAAAACCTGACAGCAGAATCCACAGAGAACAAAAGAAACTGAAACAATCTGGTGCCTCTAAACACAGAACATGAAGACACAGGACACGAGGAACTTCTTCACCAGGTTGTCCAGCTGCTAACGGGAGTCATCGTCTCCACTGAGACTCTCAAACTCCCACCGAGTCAGCAGCTGCCAGCAGAAGCTACGTTACCAAAAACCCAAAACACACAGAGCGAGAGGAACCAGGACTGTTCACTCTGAACCCCAGCCAGCCAGACTGAGAGGTTCTGGTTGGTTTTATAGCCAGGTGTGGTGACTGCTGGGTGGAGGAGGAGTGGTGCTGGTCCAATCAGACGTGACTGGAGGCGGGGAGAACAAGCTCCAGGCTGATTAGCTGAGATGACTGGCAGCTGGTGTCCTGGAGCAGCTCTCAACCAGCCACAGCTGGACCTGCACAGGTCATCTCCACACACCATGGTCACAGGTCCACATGACAGCACGCCACCAACACCACGGGCCCTAACAAACACACTGAATGCTTGTAAGGAGATGCTGGTGACTCAGGGAGTGTTACTGTGCTTGAGCCGTGTGTCTCATTGTGAGTCTGTGACACACACACACGTACCTGGCCATCCAGATGATGCAAAAGAAAAAGTGTAATTCATCAGACCAGCCGCCTTCTTCCATTGCTTCAGCTCCAGTTCTGATACCCAGGCGCCCGTTGTGGACACATTCAGAGTTGGACAGGGATCAGCACTGGCAGTTTGATTGGTTATGTTTAGGCAATAAGGTTCTTGTGCCCAGTAGCACTCCTACAGGATTGGACCACACAGGCCGTCACCCAGGTGCTGTTCATTAGTCGTCCTTCCTCGGACAGATCGGTGTAGCTACTAACCACTGCATACAGGTCACACCCCGCCTCACCCAGTCGTCTGACCGTCCATTGAGTTCAAAGTTGTCAAAGTCACTCAGGTTCTGCCCATGTTCCTTCCTCCAACACATCAGCTTCAGGAACCGACTGCTGCCAAGTGTGTCCCAACCTGTGGTCGGCCATCATGTGGCTGATGAGTGGAGCTGTCGGTAGCGTTGCTGCTTCTCTGCTCTGTGCTGTGTTCACTCTGTCAGCCTTGATGCTGTTGTCATGTGTTTCAGGGCATCTATGTTCTGCAGGACAACAAGTTCAGATTACTCAGCCATCTGTCAGCTGGAAAGCAGTACCTGGACCACGCCCCAAAGGTGTGCTGCTCTTACTTTTGGAGACACTGTGGTGGTCTGGTTTGTAGGGCTCTCTGGTAACCCTTCCTTATGCAGTTCTCTAATGTCTAAAACTTCATTCACACTAAAGCTCCAGTGATGCCAAACAAGTGTCTCAGTGTTTCAGAAGCTATCTGTGTGCATGCTAGCATGTTTCAGAGCGCATGTCACATAGCCGTTACCTTGCACTGGGCATGCAGGGGCCGCTGGTTAGTTGTAGAAAACAGCAGGGACAAAGACCAGCAGTAAAAAGTCAGGCCAAAGATTTCCTGAACTGCTCAACAGCTGCTAACTGAGACACCAGGGTCAGCAGCCTGGTGGCGGGTTGTCCAGGCTGAGTTCACAGCGGTAGGAAAGGAAACAGGCTGACTGCCTGATGCACGTGGTCTGTACAGGTGTACGGGAACGTCTGTGGGGTCTGT